GACTAGAGTTTGTGGAATGTAGGGACCCTCCTGTATAGATCGCAGGAGATTCCTGTCCATTCCTTCCAGAAAATTCACCATTCTGATTTTCCATTGAGGATATTCCTCTCGTTGAAGAGTTGGGGGCTTTGTGAGGGAGCCAACATTGTAAGCAGAATTCCAGTTGGCCATTGAGAATGTTGAAGAATAAGAGGTAATTTTGACGAGAAAGAAGAACAAAAATTGAGAGATTTTTGAATGATCGTTTTTTATTGGGAAATCAACCAATAGGCTCTGATACCAATTGTTGGTCCCAGATCTCTCAATAACACTAATAATCTAGTTATGAATAACCAAATTGTAGTGATTTTATGAAGAAAGTTATGAAGACTCAAGAATAAAATAAGAATATTTATGAACAATCTTGAACTTCAAAGGTTTTACTTTATAAACTTAGAAACGGAAAACAATGCGTAAAAGCCTTATTTTACAATAGATCTGATCACCTATTTATACTAATCGGCTAATAAGAAGATAACTATCTAATGCTACTTTCTAGCAAATCTTCTATTTAACAGATAAGGTTTATCTTTTATATGGATAAACATTAATATTAAGATAAACTCGAATTCCAGCTGTTGACTTGTCATCTCCAGCTGTCATTCATGATATGATGATCTTATCCTTATCTTTGAATCTCCATCACATGCTTGTATGAATTGCTGGAAAATCTTCTAAGTGTTGATTGACCAGAGGGTCGATGAGAATACTCTTTCCATCGCATCCTTGGACTGTCCATCGGTCCTCTGGTTGGCCTGTCCATCGATCCTTTGGTTAAATTCCAGACTTAGTCGTTTCTGCCTTGATGTCTTTATTGGTCTTCTGGTTCTTCATCACTTGTTGTTTTTCATTACTTTTTACATCATGAATCGTGAGGTTTAACAATAAATTAATACAAGCTATAACATTAATATAGATAACACAAAACAAATAGATTCATATCAATTGTAACTTACTTATTCGTCCTAAACGTTGCATCAAATGATATTGCATCACCAAATTCCCTATAATTCGATCGCGCAGTTTGATCAGCCCAGAAAATCGCTAACAACTTCTTATCATCACACTTGTACTCGAAAAAAAACTCGGGACACACCTTCCTCCTACTAGACATCACATTTAACAACATTTGCACGTCTTTATTGTCAACAAAATAAGCCATATCGCGTTTGAAGTTTTGATGATCTCTTACGGTGCCACCCGAGCAATCTACACCACCCGTAATTGCTTTCCTAAATCTATGAGATTTGGTGACACCAACCTTCGAACTAGAACCATGAAATACATTTTTGTGATCAGCGTAGTGTAGTTGCCTTTTAGAACGTGAAAACCTCATCTCCTCCTTATTAAAAAGCATGTGATTGTATTGCTCAATAAATTTGTAAACTTCATACTGTCTCCGTTCTTTAACAAAATGAATCTTGAAACATGCTCCACAACCGTAACGCTTTACATTTGAATTACGGATCCTGCGATCACCTGGAAGAACATCTAAGGAATCAAAATACTTACTTGGTGGCCTTCCTTCCTTACTACACACATAAAATCGTGACGTGATACAACCCTTCTTATTTATTTTCTTGTTGGATAAACGTACATCAAACCCAGCTTCATTAGCATACTTCCGGTACATTTTCTCAGCCGATTCTACGGTCTCAAATCCATCACCCACCTTCGGCTTATATTATGCGTCTACATTGGGAAACCAACATTTCGACCCATCGTTCGTTTCCCCCATGCCATCAGATTGATAATCTACAAAATCAAACAAATCAAAACTTTTTCATTTACTAACTTACAGTTGGTCAATAACAGTAACGAATTTGTCTTCGTTCCATCTTTCCAACTAATGAAACATATAGGTTCATTAACAGCATGTTACATTGCATTTTAGTTTCATTAACACCATCATGAAAACAGTTTTTAGGATTCATAAACGTATATATAACTTAAAATGCGATAATCACTGCTTCAAATCACAAATGTATGTATTAGGTTCATTAGCTAATGAAACCTGATTCACCAAATAAGTCTATATGTTACCGTGCAATCAAATCAGTTATGAAACCTGAATTACCATATAAAACATGTTGTTATAGTGCATTAACATATAGGTTCATTAACATCATGCTACATTGCATTTGAGTTCATTAACAGCATCATGTAAACAGTTTTTAGATTCATTAACATGTTGTTAAAGTGCATAAGACAGAAGCATATGAAACAGGATTCATAAACGTTTATATAACTTAAAATGCGATAATCACTGCTTCATCAACTTATAAAACTTCTGAAACAGTTTTCATTAGATAGCAAAATTAATTCTTTGCATTCTTGTAACTAGCAGCAACAATAACAAAGACGAGAGGTGTGCATCAATAACATCATCATCGACTATTGTGTATTCTAAAAGTCAACCTACAATAATGAAACCAAATCAATACCTTCAGCTTCATTGCTCAACGATGCAACGTCATCATCGACAAAATCTACAAAAACTCCGTCGTTGTGCTCACTTAATGTTTCGTTTCGATTGTTACATCCATCTTCATTCCTCATTGAATAATTGCATTGATATTCTATTGTTTCATTATTAACTGCGGTTGCATTTTCACCACCATAATCAAAACCTTGATAGTCGTTCATGGAATCGAAAACACTGCTTTCTTCGACGATATCCTTACTGAAAGTCTCGTTGTATGGCATATAATCCATAACATTAATACTGGGTTCTATAAAGCTACTGAAGAAACTATAAAACTATCAATTCCAATCTTAAAATTTAAGGTATGAAACTTTAATGCCTTAATCAACGAATAGGTGCAATATCATTTTGTTTAATTAATTATTCAATTTTCATAATTGATGAATCAATCACCATAAATAGAATATCATTTAATTTTAATTAAAAATACTTATAATAATCTAAATTTAGTAAATGACATATTTAACCTTTTCAATTAAATAATAATTAAAAAAAAGAAATTCATTGATTGGTTGGAAAAGGGTTGTATTGGTTGCAAGAATAGGGTGGGTTGTATTTGAAATATACCCTATATCTATACTACCTTATTAAACAAATTTACTCAAAGTCTTAAAATTTTTAATACCCAAAATACCCTTATACTTCCCTTTACCTGCCTCCCCTCTCCCAATACGCCTCTTCACTTTACCCGGCTCCCCTCCCCCAAGAAGACTCTTCCGCTTATCGGCTCCCAAGACGACGATTCACTCCCCAAGATGGTTCCCTTTAAGAGTCGTCCCTCGCTTCCTCGCTTCCCTTTAATCGTTCAAACCATCCTTCTAAAAATCGTCGTTCCCACCGCCGAATCGTTCCTCAATCGCTTTCAATCGTCGTTTCCACCACCGAATCGTTCAATCGCCTTCAATCGTCTAGCTTTCAATCGTCGCTCTCCATCTGTTATTTCAGGCATGAACAATGCCTTATCATTTATTCATTTATCTGTTTGAGTTTTCTTTTTGGGTTTTGCTTTTGGGTTTTGGGTTTAGGGCTTCATTTAGTGATGCTTAATAAGGTAGTATAGATTTTGTATTGTTATTTACTGATTTTGTGAGAAAATCTTAACCTTATAATTTCTGTTTACATTGTACTATTGATTTTGTGAGAAAATCTTAACCCTATAATTTTTGTTTACATTGTACTACTGATTTTGTGAGAAAATCTTAACCCTATAATTTATGTTTACATTGTACTCCATTGGCAAGAATATGTTTGGGTTTTGCTTTTGGATTTTCCTGAATTTGTATTGCTTTCATTTATTTACTGGTTTTGCTGTTTGGGTTGTACTTCATTTACTGATTTTGTATTGATATCTATTCTCCAACTTCTGGGTCCATTTTTGGTTTGTCAGCCCAGCCACAAGTGCATAATTTCTGTTTAGATTGTAGTTGTTTTGTGGATGTTCGAATGGGCTGTGGATAGTATCGGATTGTTGGCGAGCACCATTGGTGCACTTTATTACATACCTTTACATTCTGGTAGGTCATATAAGCTTAATTTAGTTGCCGAGCTCCTTTTACTGCTTACCTTTTGCGAAATTAGTTGATCTTTTAATCGCTTTAAGAAATTTTTTTATTTGATTAGTACATGTTTTGGTGCACTATACGCTTTGAACTGCACATTATATGTCTGTGGCAGCTATTGTTTAGTTTTAACATCGATGAATTTGAAGATCTTTCGTTAGTGAAGTAGTTTCCTTAACGATGAACAACGATAGTTGGCCAGATCTATTATAAGTTATATGTTTGTGGCAGCTGTAATTTAGTTTTAACATCATTGAACTTGAAGATCTTTCGTTAGCGAAGTAGTTTCTTAACGATGAACAATGATAATTGCCCAGATCTATTAAGATAGACCATTTTAATATGTATAAGTTGTCCTGAAAATGTAGGTACAATATTGTTGTAGGTTTTCCTTAATATTGAGAAAATCTTAAGCCTATATTTTGTGTTTAGATTGTACTCCATTGGCAATAATTTATCACAATTGGTTCTCACAATTTATCACAATTGGTTCTCTCAGATTGCTCATTTTCCTTTTGCAGATATCTCATGATTTAAGATACTCCCAATTCAGGTATGTGATAGTTGATTTAGAATGTGTTTTCACTCGAAACCTGAAACAAAACAAACATGACCATGGCTCTATGTGTCTCCAATNGAAACAAAACAAACATGACCATGGCTCTATGTGTCTCCAATATGTCTTTACCAAATATACTGTCACATGAAGAATTTGGGATATACTGTTTAAGTTTAGTTTTGTACTTTGGTGTATTAATTTACTTCCATTTTTGGGATTCATATCAATGCAAAATTTATTTTCTGGTGAGTGGATTTTGGCTCTTTTTGGCGTTTTAGTCTTGTGATGTTCATATGTATGATATGGATGGATTTAGACTTCTTGTACACATTGACCTTGAGTTGGACCTTCCTGTTATCACTAATTCAACCAACCACTTTTCCTTTAACTCCTTCAACCAACCAGTGAGGTGTACCTATATTTGCCAAAAGTAATAGGTACAAGTTTTATGTTTATCAAAGACCAACATAGGAGTTCCTACAATCTTTCTTTTTCTTTGCATTGCATCATAAGAAACAGCAAGCAAACCAACCTATGTGATAATGTAGCAGGTGTTTTCAAAGGAAAAGTATAGTTTATCAAAACGTTATCATTTGCAACAATTTACCTGGTAAGCACTTACCGGGTAAGAGTCGTCACCGTCACTTATCTGGTAAGACTCTTCATCTTCATTGTCGCTCTTACTGGATAAGATTCTCAACCCTTGTCATGTTTATCCAGTAAGGTAAATGACACGGTGAGCTCTTACCAATATGATTTTACATTTTTGCATATCATTTGTCATGTTTGAATTCCTGCATACCTTTTTCACCATTAAAGCTTATGTTGAATTCAAATCTATTGAAGCTTTATGATATGATTTTGCTTTTACCCTGTTAGCCTTGGTACTGTAAACTTCATAAATATCATGTTCTAGGAATAGGGTAATGTGATAACTTAGGTTTCTTATCTCAATACATTGTGTCAAGTGTGTCCTAAGATACAACCTTCTTGAATCTTAATCCTTAATCTAGGTGGTTGAATTATACATGAGATTATGATGGGGATGTCATTAAAAGGTCTACTGGGAAACAGTTAAGGTTTTTGATTACATTGTCTTTGAATTTGGATGACAACTCTTTTGATAAAGCAAGAGGGGCCCTTAAATGGATTGTTTGGTGATTATTGTACTATCCAGGTTAATTCTTGGACTTGCATGGACAACCTTGCATGGGGGTTTCTGATAAGGTTCTATATGATGTATCTACACACTCCAAATATGGAATATGGGCTCCTGGCAATATTTAGCAATATAAGTTTTTTTTTCAATGTTACCTTGAATGTTTTCTTGTGTTGAATGTTGTGCAGGGGGAATGATGCATTTTAGAATGAGATTTCGCAAGATGGATGATTAAAGTTTATATTGCTTTGTTTTCATGCATGGTTGGTGTGTAGGGTTACTTTAATATGCAGTGAAGACTACCTTGAGAGTTTGTATCACTGTTAGCTGAAATATATTTTGAGTAGATGCATTTTTTTGTAAAATTATTTTATGTATAGTTTTGTAATTTTAATCATTTTGAATAAAAATTGATCCCGGATTGATGGTTATTTGAACATAACATGGGGTACAAAAGTAGTAGGTTTTTTGACATCTTGAAAAAATTCCATATTTTGAAATTGGATAAACCTTAATGAAGCTTTTACATCCCGCCGCATTGCGCGGGTACACAACTAGTATATATATAAAGGTACTCGCGCAATGCAGTGAGATAAATCTTCATTTTAATGTTTAATTTCTATCTTTTATCTCTATCAATATAATATGATTTTATGTGGTTTTGAGAAAGCAGTAATGTTTTTATTTTTGAATGAATATAAATTTGAAAAAAATAAATCAATATTAATATCAAATTAACTATTTACTAATTCTCATTTTTTTTGTTTAACTTCTTTAATTCAATTTGTTATTATAATTTAATTTAGATTTAATAATAAAGTAATTTATTTTTGGTTTAATAATATAATTTTTATTAAAGATAATAATTTAA